CTTGAGGAAATTAATTCTAAATTAGTTCAATGTATTTGTGGCAAATCAGTTAAATTGGATAGAGAATATAGAGAAAGTAATTTAATAAGTCATAATCAATATGGTAAATGTGGCATCATTTCTGACAAACAATTAAGTACAAAATCTTTTTTTAATCAAAGCACTATTTTTGATGATGTTAATTCCACTAGAGTTGCTTGTTGATTTAATCAAATCAGATACTTGTGATACATGCTGATCACCATATAATAAATTTTAGTGACGTGACTGACGGACAATTGATTCCTATACATATATTTATTGATTTTATATAGTGCAAACATTTCAGCCAATATATTAACATCATGCATCAAATTTGGGCAAGAATAGTGATGGGAAAATTGCTGGTAATATGTAATTGTCATATTAGCCGATTTGTTTTTTGGGCCTTTCTTTCAAACCCTACACACATGTAAATTCGATGGGTCAGTCATTTATTTATTTTAAACAATTGATCGTTGCATCTGACAATGAGTTTACACGTATATCTTATTGTGTATGTGTAACTGGTCAGATTAACCCTAAAAAAATTTATTTGCTCCGCCAAAAAAAAACTATTTTACTATTCAATAGCCCGTCAAATCAACGGCACCACCTCAAAGCTAATGGATTATTGCTAGTATAAGGTATTCATAACGTTATGATCATACCATACTGAATTTTGAGGTTCAAACAAAATCGACGTATATGCTCAAAGTACATTTTTCGAGAACCCAGGGTTTTAATGATTTTATTAATTGTGTTATTTATACATGGCATTTTATATAGCAATTCAATATGTAGAGTAACATTGGTATTTACCATGGTGATTATTCACTCAATTCTTTTTTATCATAATGATAAGACAAAGGGCAATCATTTTTTTGGTGACATCACTATAATGTTATATATAAAATCAATACTTGGCCATACATTTGATGATTATGAAAATTTGGTCGTATAATTGGTAGAGCAGTTGAAAGTTCCCAATTGGATAATTGTGGTTGTTGGGTTAATTGAATATTTGATTTATTTTTCCAGTGTTGATATTATTTCATTTGATATTGTTTCTTTTGTTGTTTGATGAATTAATTTTGAAAGAGTGTTTCTTGTATTTGAAATACAGTTGATAAGATGTATTGTAACTTCTTGTCCGATTAAACATTTTTTTGTTTTTTATTAATTAATACTGGAAAAGATAGCAACAATATCAACGCGTCAATTGAAATGATCACCTATCTACCTACCTAATCAAGAAAACATTTTTTGTAAAATCACAATAAATAATATTTTTCTAAAAAAATATATTATATTTTTAAAAAATATGAACATTGAACAAACTGATTTACTTTTAGAATACCAAAAACAAATTTTAACAGAAATAGTCGAAGAAGATGGATTATTAGTGATTAGCCGTGGTTTAGGATTAAGAATAATAATATGTTCCTTATTGAAAATTTACTCGCAAAGAAAGAATTTGGTAATTCTGTTAAATACACCTTCAAAAGAAGAATTGAGCATTAAAGAAGAATTAGCACAAATTGGCATTAGTAAACCTGGGCTCAGAATTGTTAATAATGAAATGAGCGCTAAAGAAAGGTTTTTGTTAATAAAAGTATTATTACTAATAATATTATGAAATAAAATAATAAAGTCATATTAATAATTTAATAAAAATATTAGAAATGAATTATATATTAATGGTGGAATATTGTCAATCACTTCAAGAATTCTTATAGTTGATCTTTTGACCAAGAAAATCCCAACTCATTTAATAACCGGAATAATTGTTAACCATGCTGAAAGGTATTACAATTGTTATTATTATTAATTGAGTAATAAAACTTTTTTTTCAGTAATTAAAAAAAATTTTTTTTTAAACAAAAAAGAATAAATGTAACATCTACTGAAGCATTTATACTAAGAATATTTAGGCAAGAAAATAAAGTGTGTTTCATAATTTTAAAATTTGAAAAAAATTAAATTACTTCTAATTAATATATTTTTATTAAATTCAACATTATCAACATTGTCATATTCATCATTCTTATTACTACTATTAAGGAAGGATTTATCAAGGCATTTTCAGATTCACCAGAGACATTTATTTCAGGATTTTCACCACTTCAAACAACATTACAGTTACTTCAATTAAGAAAAGCATTTTTATGGCCAAGGTAATAAAAGATTCAAAATTTAATTTTAATCTTTAAAGCATCACCATCATCATCATAATAACATATGTATGCATGTTTAGATTTCATGTTTTGGTAAGGGAATGTCTTGAAGAAAAAAATTTTCAGGTGATAGAATTACAACAATCACTATCAGAATCAATGTTTGATATTCAATCTGCAATTCTAGAATGTATTGGAGCTTGCATTTCCGAAGTTAGGAAATCCACTTCTTCAGTAAGACTTCTTTCTCCTTTCATCCATTCATCATTCATTAATAAATATCTATATATGTATTAATTGATTAATTTGTTTGCCTGCTCATTTTACAATAGATTGATTTTGAAGAATTTACAATTGAGAATGCATTATTTAAGTCATTTGACATAATAATAAGACAACAACTTGATCCAGTTTGGCATAGAGTTAGCATGAAAACTAAACAATTAGTTAATGATCTTAAAACTTTAAGAAAACTATTAACGTAAGTTTTATATTGGTCTGCATATTTAGTTAGTGATTTCCTCTTTAGTAATAAAGCATTTTTGTGTTTTTTAAAGTTATCTTGTAAGTTATGATTGCGTGAGTTTCAATATATTCCTTGAAACAATCTTAGCAAGTCAAGCACCAACTTCCTCATTGGATACTGAACAACAATCTCCTTGGATATTCTTGGATGCTGGCGAAACAATATTTTCTGTAAGTAATATATTTTTATTGATCTGTGTTATCTACATTATCCAAATAATTTATCTTTTTTGCATTTAGATGGCAAAAAAACGTGTATTTATTCGTAATAAGCCAACTTCAAAAATTTCAGAAAAAACCAATTCTGTAATAGAAATAACAGAGGAATCAACAGAGGAGTCAACAACAACAACGACAAAAGAATTATTAGAACAAATTAGATTATTGGAGAATCCAGAGTTTCCACCAGGAATTGAACCTGTATTAGAAGAATTACCAAAATGGAATTTATTGGCTGATATATTGAATGAGATTGAAGTTGAAATAGAAACATCTAATCAAAATAGTAATTTAAATTTTTTCTTTAAAGAAAAAAAAAAGAATTTAATAATAATAGTAATAATAATAATGATAACATCATTATTAATATCAATATTAGGTTCCAATAATGATACTATTCTAATAATGGTGGAAAATGGACGTGAGGGTTCTCAATTAAAAGAGTATTTATCAACAATGAAAATAGGTTTAAAAAATAATCAGGGAAGAGGTGGTCCATTATTGAGAAGATTGTTAAAGAACTATTTTAGATGGAAAACTGAAATTAGCAAAATGAGGAAAAGTTTATTTCAACCAATCCAAAAATCATCATCATCATCATCATCAAGCAATGGTAATATCAGTAATAAATTATGAATAATGATTATAATAACTGTTTCAATTAATATTTTTTCTATTTTTTTTTTGATAATATTAATATTATAAAAGCCGATCCCCAAAAACGTTATCAACGAGGTATACAACCATATAATAAGAGACGTCGTATTCGTGGTGGTGCTAGTGGCGGCACATCATCAAGTAATTTTATAAGAAATAATAGTGCAGATATTATCGAGGAAGAAGCAAGAGAAATTGCACACTTGTATGTATCAATTAATGTTCTTGATTGAATTGAATTATATTATGCTTTATATTTATAAATTTGTATATATTTAATAAATAGTATCAATTCTAATATGCCTTCAGGACCATCTGGAACAAATGCTTCTTCATCAAATATCAAAGACAGTGATGATGACAACAACAACAATAATGACGATGTTGAGGAAGAAGAGACATTCTCAAATCATAATAATGATGTGTTAATGACATCTTATATTGATGTTGATGATGAGCTTGATGCTAAAGCCTTCTCAAAATATTTTGGATTAGTACCACTAGAATCATTAATTCTTATCAGACCAATTTTAGGTGATGATGATGATAAAATGCTACAAGCAATTAAACCTAGATATGTTATAATGTATCATCCAGACCAGGGATTTATTAGACGTTTAGAGGTATTCATTCAATCAATTAATGCATGTATGTATTTTTGGGAGTAGTGGGGACTCTAATTCTTTGTTTGGCAAATAGGTTTTTAAAGCAAGAAATCCAGAGCTTAGTTGTAAGGTGTATTTTATGATTTATGAAAATTCTGTTGAAGAACAAAGATATTTAAGTTCCATAAGAAGAGAAAAGGAAGCTTTTGAAAAACTTATTCGTGAAAAATCAGTAAATATATTGTTTATTATAAATTGATTTTTTTTTTAATTAAAAATTAGGTCATATTAAAATCTTTAATTGTATAGATGATGGTAATACCATTGGGACGATCAATACCAACTTCACGAAATATTAATGATTTACTATCATTGAATTCTGTAAATACTCGTATAGCTGGTGGTGGTAACATTGATAATAATAACTTGGTAGTAAAGCAAAAAAAGGTAATAATAATAATTATGGTTAATGATCTCACAAATATATTAATAGTGATTAAATATCTTATTAAAGGTTATAATAGATGTTCGAGAATTTCGTTGTTCGTTACCATCACTGCTTAATGCACGTGGCATAGAAGTATTGCCATGCACATTACAAATTGGTGATTATATTTTATCACCGAATATCTGTGTTGAAAGAAAATCTATTTCAGATTTATTTAGTTCTTTTATTTCTGGAAGATTGTAAGCACAACAAAATATTTTTTTTTGCACAATATAAATTTTATTTTAATATTAGATGTATTAATGTAATTGCTTATGTATATATATAAGGTAT